AAAATCCCATTAAAACTACCAAAATCCCATTAAAATCCCATTAAAATCCCATTAAAACTACCAAAATCCCATTAAAATCCCATTAAAACACCAACAGTTCATTAAAATCTCATTAAAACTACCAAAATCCCATTAAAATCCCATTAAAATCCCATTAAAATCCCATTAAAACTACCAAAATCCCATTAAAATCCCATTAAAATCCCATTAAAACACCAAAATCCCACCCAAATCCCATAAAAAACAATAAATCCTACAAAAATCCCATCAAAACCACCAAATCCCATCAAAATCCCATTAAAATCCCCCTAAAAACACCAAAATCCCACTAAAATCCCATTAAAAACACCAAAATCCCACTAAAATCCCATTAAAAACAACAAATCCCACAAAAATCCCATTAAAATGCCCCTAAAAGCACCAAAATCCCACTAAAATCCCGTAAAATCCCAGGAAAATCCAATTCTTTCACTTTTTTCCCTCAGAATTTTGTGTTTTCCCGGATTTGGGGTTTTTGGGGCTGCATTTGGGATTTCTTTTCCCCAGAATTTTGGGTTTTCCCACCGAATTTTGTTTTTTCTCACCAGAATTTCAGGTTCTCCCACAGAATTTTGGGATTTTTCCCGGATTTGGGGTTTTTTCCCCAGAATTTTGGGATTTTTCCCGGATTTGGGGTTTTTGGGGCTGCATTTGGGATTTCTTTTCCCCAGAATTTCACTTTATCCCCCAGAATTTGGGTTTTCCCCAGATTTTGGGCTGTTTTGGGGCAGAATTTGGGTTTTTCCCAGATTTTGGGGCAGAATTTGGGTTTTCCCCAGATTTTGGGTTTTTTTGGGGCAGAATTTGGTTTCTTCCCGGATTTTGGGGTTTTTTTTGGGGCAGGATTTGGATTTTTCCCGGATTTTGGGGTTTTTTGGGGCTGGATTTGGATTTTCCCCAGATTTTAGGTTTTTTTGGGGCAGAATTTGGGTTTTCCCCGGATTTTGGGGTTTTTTGGGGCAGAATTTGGGTTTTTCCCGGATTTTGGGGTTTTTTGGGGCAGAATTTGGGTTTTTCCCAGATTTCGGGGTTTTTTGGGGGCAGAATTTGGGTTTTTCCCGGATTTTGGTGGTTTTTTGGGGCAGAATTTGGGTTTTCCCCAGATTTTGGGTTTTTTTGGGGCAGAATTTGGGTTTTCCCCAGATTTTGGGGTTTTTTGGGCAGAATTTGGATTTTTCCCGGATTTTGGGTGTTTTTTAGGGCAGAATTTGGGTTTTTCCCAGATTTTGGGGCAGAATTTGGGTTTTTCCCGGGTTTTGGGGCAGAATTTGGGTTTTTCCCGGATTTTGGGGGTGTTTGGGGGCAGAATTTGGGTTTTTCCTGGATTTTGGGGGTGTTTGGGGGCAGAATTTGGGTTTTTCCCAGATTTTGGGGCAGAATTTGGGTTTTTCCCGGGTTTTGGGGCAGAATTTGGGTTTTTCCCGGATTTTGGGGTTTTTTTGGGGCAGAATTTGGGTTTTTCCCGGATTTTGGGGGTGTTTTGGGGCAGAATTTGGGTTCTTCCCGGATTTTGGGGCAGAATTTGGGTTCTTCCCGGATTTTGGGGTTTTTTGGGGGCAGAATTTGGGTTTTTCCCGGATTTTGGGGTTTTTGGGGAATATTTACTTCCTCCCGAGGCGGCCGCAGGCTCATCCCGTTAGCCAGGGTGGCTACAAAATTCTGGGGAAAGAGGAACGAGAGACGTCACCGGGCACCCCAAAACCGGCCGGGCACCCCAAAACCGGCCGGGCACCCCAAAATTGGGGTGGGGGACCCCAAAATTGGGGTTGGGGAGCCTAAAAATGGGGTGAATGACCCCAAAAATGGGTTGGGGGTCCCTAGAAAAGGGGTGGGAGGTCCCTAAGTTGGGGTTGGACACCCTAAAATGGGGCTGGGGAACCCTAAAATGGGGCAGGGGGTCACAAGCCCAATTTTTGGGGGTCACAATCCCATTTTTGGGGGGCAGAGGGGATACAGGGGCTCAAGACCCCAAATTTTGGTGGTTTAGGGGGGTCAGGACCAAAATTTGGGGCGACTTTGAGGATCGGGGAGGACTGAAACCCCAAATTTTGGGGGTCAGAGGAGATTTGGGGGGGTTACAACCCAGATTTTGGGGGTCCCTGGAAACCTGGGGGGGTCCCAGACCCAAAATTTTGGGGTCCCTGGGAATTTTGGGGTCCCAGACCCAAAATTTTGGGGTCCCTGGGAATTTTGGGGTCCCAGACCCAAAATTTTGGGGTCCCTGGGAATTTGCTCCTGTGTTCCCCCCAGTCACGACAAAACCCCCCCAATCTCATTAAACCCCCTCAAGTTAATTAACCCCCCCAAAACCTCATTAAAATCCCCCAAATGTCACTAAAAACCCCAAAATCTCACTCAAAACCTCATTAAAATCCCCCAAAATTTCATAAATAAAACAGTATTTCACTAAAGCCCCAAATCCTCATTTAAAACACCAAAACCTCGTTAAAATCCGCCAAAAATGCATAAAAACCCCAAAAATTTCATAAAAACCCCCAAATCCTCACTAAAAACCCCAAATCCTCACTAAAACCCCAAAATCTCATTAAAACACCCAAACCCACACTACAAACCCCAATTCCTCACTAAAACCTCAAAAATCTCATTAAAACCCCCAAAATCTCACTAAAACCCCCAAAATCTCATTGAAACCCCCAAAATTTCACTAAAATCCCCCAGAATTTCATAAAAAAACTCAAAATCTCACTAAAATCCCCGAAATCTCACTAAAACCCCCAAAATCTCACTAAAACCCCCAAAATCTCACTGAAACCCCCAAAATCTCACTAAAACCCCCAAAATTTCATAAAAACCCAAAATCTCACTAAAATCCCCAAAATCTCACTAAAACCCCAAAATCTCACTAAAATCCCCAAAATCTCACTAAAACCCCAAAAATCTCACTAATATCCCCAAAATCTACCTAAAACCCCCAAAATCTCACTAATATCCCCAAAATCTACCTAAAACCCCCAAAATCTCACTAAAATCCCCAAAATCTACCTAAAACCCCCAAAATCTCACTAATATCCCCAAAATCTCACTAAAACCCCCAAAATCTCACTAAAACCCCCCAGAATTTCATTTAAA